CAGTGGCCGGACCCCTCCAGCGCAGCTGCTGGTGCCGCCGCAGCTCCTCAAGAGAGAGTCAGCTGACGCTGAAAGAACAACCTCTCACCCACAGCCAAAAAGACATATCAAGCTTGCGCGCCCATGTGTGTCTGCGGGTCTGCGAATCTTCAGGTCTGCGCGCCTGCGTGTCTCTGCGGCACTGCGTGTTCGCATGTCTGCGTGTCTGTCTGTGTTACTTGTCAACCAAAAACAGGGGGTTCGTAGATCCCTTTGGAGGGTGATGATTACAGCGATGGAGCTATGCCCTAATCCACTCATTGTCCAAAACAAATCGACAGGTTGACTTTTGACTCGTGAACAAGTGAGGCTGAGAAGTCTCTATCTGGATGTGCGCATGTGTCTGTGTCTGTGTGTGTGGCTGTGTTTCTGTGTGTCTGTGTGTCTGTGCGTCGTGCGTCTCTGTGTCTGTGTGTCTGTGCGCGTCTGTGTTTGTGTTTGTGTTTGTTTGTTTGTTTGGTGCGGGCGGGTGCGTGCGGGTGCAGGCGCGACGCTTCCCACACGCCTCCCCGCGGATCCCTCTACAGATTCTAAGTACCCGGGGCAGCACACCCACGCGCACTCGAAGACCGACACGACCTCGCTGTCAAACAGGTCTACCCCAAACGGTAATCGCAAGAGAGCGCGTTTCAATCAAACGTCCACATACAAATAGCAGTTCAGTTGTCAAGCGTGAAATCTAAGAAGAACATCAATCACCAAAATTAGAAGAATTGCATACTCATGCTGGCAAGATCACATGCACAAGGGTCGCATGCTACTATCAACTACATCTGAGTTGTCGACACTATCAACACTGTTATCACGTCCTGCTTCTTCAATTGGATGTTCTCCTGCAACGCGCAAATGAGCGCCTCGTCAAACTTCGATCGGCTTGCGTTGTGCTTGACAATTTCCTGGCGCAGGCAAGGCAGTTGCAAACACAGCTCGGAACCGCAACCAAATCTGTGGCCGTTCTCAGCATTGTGGTATACTCCAGCACCGTCCGTCTTATTGCAGTACGTCGCCGAATGGCTGTGATGGGTCAGTGCCTTGTATACAGCGGCCATGTCGGATTTCTGCGAGGATGCAGAGATTCTCGTGATGGTGCAAAGTCCACCCTTCCTCCAACAATCAGAGCTTGAATGGATTTTCTGAAGAACGAGCACTTCATGTATTCCACCGTAAGGGGTCTTCCTTGAGATTCCTTCAGAACCTATCACTTGAGGGCCAACGTTGTGAGGGGCAAAATTATAAGCCGATAAAAAAGCATCAACTTATATAGTTTCTTTGGAACCACGTCCCGAAAGGGTTTGACACACAGCCTACTAGCCGAGTGGTCGAATGCGTCATCACACAGTCATCACAGCTGGCAATCCTGGTGCGAATGAAAGGTTCACGTGTTGGGCGAAAAAGCCGCAAGAATCTTTTTGCTCTCCAAACTTGCCTTTGAACCCCTCCCGGCCTGCTGCGCTTTCACCTGCTTCAGCACCTGCCGGGCACGCGTGGCACGACCCGATGTCTCAGCATTGCAAGCTCTTGCAGGCCGGACGAAGTTAAAGGATACGCCAAACCGAAACTGGGCTTCCAACTTCCTCGGACGCCCTGCTTGCAACAATGATGCTCAAGGATGATCGCGAAAGAAGTTCAAAAGCATCTGAAGCCCCCTTTTTGTCTTGCGCCTCATCCGGAGCGACATCACCCAGAACCAAAGAAAGACGAAATCAACCACGTTTGTTGGCAATGGCGCATGTGAAAATTGTCAAACTGACCACTGCAAGTATCAAGCAAGCACCAAGAAGATGGAACATTGTGTAAGCAGATCACACCAAAAAGGAATTGGCTCTCTTGACGCTTCAGCAATGGGCACCCCATGCTCCACGCGCTTGAGAGACTTGAGACACTTCACTCCCCTTCCCTCCCGGCAATCCTTGAGCCGGGCATAGTCCACCACCGCCCTCACCTTCTCCTCCTCTTGCGTGACCTGCTGTAGAAGCAGCGTTGCCTCCTGGTTCGATTGCCCAAAGCCGTCGCTCGAGTAAAAAGGGCTCTTGTACTGTATACTGTATACATGTAGGTTGTCTGTTCCCGTTGCGTTGGTTTCCCACTTCAGGCAAGGGGAAGCCATCACGTCCTCGGCAGCAAGGCCTCGCGTCCTATTATGCCCCTGGAAGCAATCAGCACTTGAGTGGGCATTGATTGCAAGGTCTGGTCATTTGCAGTTTCAGGACTCCCTTGAATAGCCCTAGCAAACCTCTGCCATTCCAGGGTTTGCTGCACCTATGTTGCTTCCCTTTTGAGGCAAACTCAAGAAATATATCATTTCATGTTTCTAGTTGTTTTGGTATCTATAATTGTAGCTATGTATTCATTATTTGTTCTACTTGTTTATTTAGTCACTCATTCATACATGTTCGTTCGTTCGTTCGTTCCTTCCTTCCTTCCTTCCTTCCTTCCTTCCTTCCTTCCTTCCTTCCTTCCTTCCTTCCTTCCTTCCTTCCTTCCTTCCTTCCTTCCTTCCTGTCAGATGTCATGTCATGTCATGTCATATCAGTTCAGTTCTGTTCAGTTCAATTCAGTTCAGTTAATGTCATTTCATTTCATGTCATTTCATTTTATTTCGTTTAATTTATGTCATTTAATTTATGTCATTTCATTTCAATTCATTTCATTTAATTTCATTTCACGTCATTTCATTCATTCATGTATTTGTTTATTGATGTATTTGTTTTGTTTCTTTATTCATCCCTGTCGCTATGCATGTATGAATTTGTTTATGTATGTATGTAGTTATGTATTTCATGTATTCATTTATTGATTTATGTATTTATTGATTCATTGTTGAGGGGGGTACTGCTCTTTGCGTGTGGGTTCTGGGCGCCTCTTCTTTCTTTTGCTTTGCGGGGTTCGGCCATTGTGCGGACTGACCAAAAAGCGCAGAAATGCCACCTGGTGAAAGTTTCCACCTGCGAAGAATCCCCTGTGCTTGACTTGGGCATAGCCTACCTACATTGCCATGCAAATTCTTTGTGGTCTTCATGGTTGTGGGGTACAGTATTCGCAAAAACACGCCCAACCCGAATGTTCGCATGCAACCTTGGCCAGGCTGACAAAAGAAGCAACTGCATCATCAAAAAAAGAAGCATCTCACTCCATCGCCAACACTGAATCTCCAACTCAAAAGCCAAAAGGAAAGAAACGTGAAAGTTTCGCGCCTGTTGTGTAGATCAGGCTAGCTTCAATACTGCCACCCAAACCAATCCTCGCAGCGCTGCTTCTGCACCTCCCAGCGCGTGCGGGATTCCTGCAACTCTGCACTGAGGTTCCTCACTGCTTCACAGGGAACAAGCGCCATCTGCTCCGACTTGCGCATTGAGCTGACCAACTGCGGAGAGTCTGACAAAAGGAAGGGGGCAACCAACTTCTGGGACATTCAACAAGCCTGGACCTCCTGGTTGTGGGTTTTGGCTTCTGGGTGCCATGAAACGCAAACGCATGAACCTTCCTTAACGGATCGTTCTACATGCGATCGCAATCAACCCCGGCCGAATGTTCCGTTATCACCCGGCAAAATGGAGGCAATTCACCTACGGGCAGCGGATCTTCTTTCACTTACTGCATCAACCAACTTGCGAATTGAAACAAGGATCCTCTGCTTGTGTCACCCTACAAAATTCAGCCCTTCGCAAACATGCTCCAGGTTTCTGGTCTTTACCCACAAAAGTGGGGAATATGTATCCCAGCACGCCGACATTCACCTCCGAGGCATGTTCAAGATTTCACATGACATACTCCTCCCTTGACAAAGCCCGTGACACACCGGCGCGCCCTGCACACTCGCCCATTACAACAGTTTAATGTGGCTTGGACAGGGCAAAACCCCTTCTTCGTTGAGTCAGAAATTGGACAGGGGCGAGTCAAGAAACAACTAGAGGCAAGTCAATAATGAAAGTGGTAAAACGCTTGGAAAATTATTCTTATTTTTATGCATGTGCGTCAGTCAGGCTTCTTTCTATCTGTAGTGCAGCAGATTGGTGTGACAAGTTGCGCCTTCGGGCCATGGGGCTTGGCATTGCTGTGCCTGCAAGGTTTCGTAAAGGAGCTTTACAAACCAGGATCATGGTGTTGACCAGTGCACTTGCCTAATGTCTTCTCAGCCAGGTGCCTTTGCCTTTTTCAAGATGCAGCAAAAATGGGCGACAGTCAGAACCCAGAGGGGTCCTAAAGAAACCGAACAATTTGGAAAGAATCTACAGCTGTAGCCAGCACTCGGCCGAGATGTAAATGCAAGTGAAAGAAGCGAGCGGTCAAAGTACCAGCGCGGAATACTGTGTATTCCAAGTCCGGCACCTTAGCAGAAACCAAAGCGCTAGTTGCTTGAAAACCAAGCAATAATGCCGCCGAAGATTGAAGCTCCAGCATCCAGACTTGCGGGCATGGCTATCAGCAAAGAAGTATGCATCTTATCTGCGTGGGTTATGTTACATGGTCTTCTTGGTCAAGCGCTTATTCGCGCAGTGATTTTGATGTTTTCTTGCGGCGCCGCCGCAGCCACGTGGCGGCCCTAAGCCAGCAAGTGCAACTCAGGCGTGAGAGGCGCAGGTGTTGTCCTTGTTGCACGCGTGCTACCCAACTGCAAGGGGCACACAGTGCAGGTTCTTTTCGGGCCCTTTCCGGGGGTCGCTGCTTCCACATGGGTGTAGTCTTCGTAAGCGGTCGCTTGCGAAGCCTGGGCCAACCCCAGCACCCACGTGTTTTGCAAGCGCACCCTGATACTGGGATGGCCGGGCCCATCCGCGCAGGTGCAGCTTGCCGTTGCACCGGACTCTGACGCCCACGCGTGCGCGCGCTCTGCGCCCCACGCTTTTTTGGCGAAGGCGTCAAAATCTATGACTGGCTTAAACATCCCAGGCTGTTAGATCAGGATATCAGCGTGGCCCCCAAACTCATCGAGCGTATGGCTGAACAAATAGACACGCAAAATTGATGCCGTTGTAGCGTTGGTATTTGAGGGAAGTCAAAAGAAAACCAACCAAAAAAAGGGAACCTTATGTTGAGAAACCCCCAGATCAAGGCGCTTTCTTCCTGAGCAGCTCAGTCTAAATTTCGCAACTCACTGGCAAAAAGCAGCCGCCGACGTCCGCTCATGACCCCCAGCATCCCTTGACATGACCGGACATGCTTTGACATTTGACAGCCATCAACCCCATCCTACAAGTGGCAGCGCCTCATCCATGCGGAGCGCAGTAAGCCTGGGCCAAGAGTATTAATGTGTCGGAGATATATGTCTGTTGATTTCACCTCAGCAAGCTGTGTAAGTGCCCTGTTTACCGACATCCAAGCTAGCAGGAGACATGGAGTTTGCGCAGTCCGTCCAGTCTGATTGTCTGGTCTCTTGTATGTAGTATGGAGAAAGCATACCTGGGGGCCTTCCCAGTGCCAGTTTCACACTCTTAAAGTTCATTTGAACAGGTTGCTTGTTTTGAGTTTCGGGTGTCCGCAGCTTGGTGGCTCCCGCTTAAGCCTGACGCACAAGTACGCGCATCCATGTTCTCGGTCCAGTGCACGGGCTTGATCGGCGCCGGCGCAGAGGACGGAGGAGAGGTTGGGAAAGATGCCGGAGGCGGGTCCAGGTTGGAGGAAATAGACCGTGAGCGTGAGGAAGGTGCTGGTGACGGTCGTCCAGGACGTCCTCTTCAATCATCGTCAAGTCGAGCAGTGGCAAAACGACCCCACCCAGGACTTCACTCAATCGTGCCGGTGTCCATCCCACGCACCGTGGCTTTCCCTCAGTCCCTGAAGCATTACGATGTTTGGCGTATGCTCACTGACATTCAGCAGTTTTCCGTGATAACGACCAGTGTGAGCAGTACGTCCTCTACGACCAGGACTTGGAGGGTTTCTTCACTTCAGTGGACGCTGCTCGATTTCTTGCTGCTTGGAACATACTCTGGGACCGCGATGCGACGCCAACCCCAAGCACACCGACCATTTTACGGTCAATCTACGCGAAAAAAAACAAGCCCTACGGTTTTTCCGAGGCCGGTGTCGGAAACCCGCGGTCAACCAGCATTCTATTCGGTGCACGGATGTCCCGCTTATCCTTCGAGCTGTTCTACAACTTCGTTACTTTCGTGTCGGACTTCATGCCTTTTCTCAATGCCGTGGCTCCCCAATGGGCCACCCTGCCAGCCCTGCCCTGTGTTTGATGACCGTTGCTGCAGTGGAACAACTTTGGTACGACACCTTTTCCGGCATGCTGTTCAACCTCTCCATCTTTGCAGAAATGCCGATTCCGGTGTGGCTTTGCATCATTCCCTATCGTTTTTCCTGCGCGCTGGGTTCTATGTGCAACCGTCAACCTCGTCGATGGGCCGGGCCAGGATTTTCTCGGATTCACCATCAACGTCAACCAACGGACAATTCAGTTTATTCCTCCTTCATCGGCAGCACAGTTTCTTCAACCTCGGTCGGCTTCACCACCTTATGTTATCCGGAGCTCCTTCACTGCCAGACTCAACATCGTGAAGCGCTGCGCCTACCCACTTGCTGAACGCCAAAAAAGGTACACAACGCCCAACTTCACGGATCTTTGGACAACTAGAGGACGATTGGCCCGAAAGCATTTTCCCCCAAGCGTTGCCATCATGTGCTTTTCCAGCCGCGGAGACGCCCCTTTACATCGATGCAGCAGCTTTTGCAAAGCAGGCTCGTGTAACTTGGCTCTACGTAACTTGACTCTATGTAACTTGGCTCTGTGCAACTTGACTCTGTGTAACTTGGCTTTGCGCCACTTGGCTCTGTGCCACTTGGCTCTGTACAACTTGGCTCTGTGCAACTTGGCTCTGTGCAACTTGGCTCTATGTAACTTGGCTCTGTGCAACTTGGCTCTGTGCAACTTGGCTCTATGTAACTTGGCTCTATGTAACTTGGCTCTATGTAACTTGGCTCTATGGTAACTTGGCTCTATGGTAACTTGGCTCTATGGTAACTTGGCTCTATGTAACTTGGCTCTATGTAACTTGGCTCTATGTCACTTGGCTCTATGTAACTTGGCTCTGTGCAACTTGACTTGGCTCTGTGCAACTTGGCTCTGTGCAACTTGGCTCTGCGCCACTTGGCTCTGTGCCACTGGGCTCTGTGCCACTTGGCTCTGTGCCACTCGGCTCTGTGCCACTTGGCTCTGTGCACTGTGCAACTTGGCTCCGTGCAACTTGGCTCTGTGCCACTTGGCGCAGCGCAACTTGGCTCTATGTAACTTGGCTCTGCGCAACTTGGCGCGCTACTGCCTGGCGCGCGCGGGGGGGTTTCCAAAACTGGTGATGCTGGTGATGTTGACAATGCTGTGGCAGCTAGAGCCCGCAAAAAAAAAAACCTGCGCGCTGCGACCTGACGCGCGCGGGTTTTTCCGAAGGCTGGCGGCGCTGGCGACGCAGGCGATGTTTGCGGAGCAGGCTTACGAGCTATCTTGCGCTAGTCAGATTGCGCTTGCAGGGTCATCATCAGCTCGCAGGGTCTTTGACTTTCCAAGGCAAGGTCCACAAAGCCGTGCGACCCCTCCACTGCAGCGCGCAGGGCGCAGTGCGCCCGACAGCTCCCCCAACGCTGTGCCCCCTTCCACATTTCCTACTCAAGTTCGAACCTGACAAGTCGAGATTTTGACACGCTGCTGTCAGCTTGACGCAGCCGTCCTGGATGAAGGAGGCCGACTATGGGCTGGCTCTGTACGTCATGCTGTCGCGCGCCACCAAGCTGAGCGACCACCTGACGATCCTTGCGCTGCCCAATCGACAGTACTTTGAAGGCTTCCTGCGTCGAGAGGATGAAGAAGCTCGAGGAGATGTCCGCTTAAAGCACGAACAACAAAGACCCTACAAGCTGATGATGGCCCCAGCAGCTTTTCATCGCTGACTGTCGCGGACTAGTGTGTGATCTATCTGTTTTCCCTGCGATCTAACGTGATCATTTGCTTTTTAGCCATTTTCGATGCGGTTGTTTGGAACTGCGCGGCAATGACACTCTGCTGAGGCACTGTTGTGACACGAGACGCGCCTAGCGGTAGAAAAGAAGAGCTACGCTGGAGCCCCCGGCCCCCTCAGCTTTTCCCTCAGCTTGGAGCGCAGACAGTCCGCGGCGGGCAGTCGCGCCCTGAATTCACACTTTGCATCACATGGTGTTTGCCACCCTTGGTTTGCTGGGACCTCTTGTCGCAACGTTGCTCGTGCCGCTGGACACCTTTTTAGTGGGGAAAAATGTCGTCTCAGAGCGTCACAGTCAAGCTCCTAGGCATCGTGCGCGAAGTTGAGCTGGTACTGTGCGCGGATCGATGTTTGACGAGGAGCACGCAAACCGTGAGAAGTAAGATAGCGACCCTCAGCTCCTCGGGAGGCGCGTAGCCGCAGCGCGCAGCTCTGCCTGACCCAGCAGAGCGTGCAAGCAAGTCACGAGGCACAGCAGAGGCGCAAGCAAGTCACGACAACCACAAAGACCCGGCGCGCCTTTTTTTCCTCAGCGCTCGCGCGCAGCTCCTGTCAGCAGTCGCGCTGAGCACGATCTCCGCCGTGGCCGATCAGTCTAGCTCGCCTTTTGCGCTCGCAAGCGGCTGAGCGCAAGCAGCACGTAGTCTCGACTTCGCCAAGGGCAAAGCGCTGGGCGAGGCTCAAGCAGGGCAGCCACCGCCTCGTCCACGGCGCACTGCCAATCAAGGAGAAGGGCTGCGGTTGACAGTGGACTCGAGGCAAGACTCTCTGATGCCGCAAAGGGCACGCCACATGCCGCGCCAAGTCTCGGCGCACTGCTGGGCGCACTCCATAAATGCCCGGAGCTCCGCGCGTGGACAATGCTTTTCTGAAGTGCGCGCCCAGCCCTCTCACTCTCATCTCCGCCTCCCAGCACACGCTGACAACAACCGAAGCCCGCGGCTTCTGCCGCTCACAGGGCCGCGGAGCGCAGGCTGCCCAGCAAGCACTTCTCCACGGCCAGTCGGCGACGTTGCCCAGGTTGTTGGGAAAGGACCAGTAATCCACCCGCCTCCGCGACATCCTCTGCCGCGGAAGCCCATGAGCAAGCCACGCGATCAACAGAGACAGCTCAGGCGTGAGTTTACGCAACTCGAGCAAAACGCTGCACGAAAAGCTAACTCGGGGTGGGAAGCTGCAGCTCGCGCGCAAGCAAAACGTACTGTGCTTTTGCGACTTCTAGCGACGCGCCTCATGCTGGCGCTCTCCTAGCCCCTCGCGCAGCTTTCGCAAGACAGTTGCACCGGGCCAGGAGAGAACAGAGCGCGTCAAAACAAAGCCACTGGCCGTCGTCCAAGACCGTAGGCCAAGACAGTGGCTTGCGCGCGTCCAACCACGCCGAGCACTTCACGTCTCATCAAATGAGGCTGGCCGGGCGCTTGTTGTCCTGCAACTAAGCCCCCAGCCAAGCAGGCGCCACACCATGTTCCCGCAAGTGGAGAAGTTAGTTGGTCCTGACTCACCCGCGACACCCACTCCACGCGCAAGGTGACGCCGCTCAGCACGCGGCCGACCAAGAAGCGCGTCCGCCATGTTGAAGAGATGGCAGCTCTTGAAGTGGCAGAAAGCCTCGATGGCGAACGCAGCGTCTCCATCCTTGCGCGGGTAGGGGTGCACCTTCTCGTGCTTCGTGACCAAGTGTTTGTCCCCGGCCACGTCAATCTCGTCAACGCCAGCGTCGTCCTCAGCGACTGCGAGAAGGCGTCACACTTGGGAGAAGACAGAACCCATGTCGGAGCAGGACATGTCCTGGCACAAGTTCTGGACGGGCAAGCACGGCTCCATCTCTCTTCTGGTTCAAGAGCCGTCACCTTCTTCACCATGGGCCGGCTCCCATCCGAGTAGCCCTCGCCGAAGCAAGCGCGAGAGACGAGGTGCCCAGACGGAGATCGAAAGGCCCCTTGAAGCACAGCACGCGCGCCTTTGTCAGCTTCGCCGTCAACGCGGGCCAAGACCGCGAGCTCCTCGCCGCCCACCAAAACTGTCCAGCTGCCCGCTCCAGTCCGCGATGTGCGCCGTTGCAAGCACGCAAGACGCGTCCGATGAAGTACACGTGCTTGTCAGCCGTCAATCTTGGTGCCGCAGCTTGCACGGGGTGTAGACAGGTCCCCAAGCGACTATGTCGATCTGAGCAACATTGTTTGTCACCTGCGCGCCTTGGGGCAACTGCCATCGGTCACGAAACCAAATGTACATCGGATATACTGGTGAAGTGAGACAAGTGAGACAAAGAAACCGTATGAGCGTTACAATGGTTCACAAACGACAAACAGGCAACCGACCACGCAAAAACACACAAACCAGACAACGAAGAAAAGAGCACAGACAGACATTGTGGCGCTCATAAGGAACCAGGATACATGGCAAAAAAGATGAGCCTGCGTGACCTGAGTTTCATCAAGTCAGCCGCATCGTCAAAGACAGCGGGCTTAAAGTTCAAAATGCACTCAATCCGCCGGGGGCACATTTGCGCATCGTTAACCCCCATGAATGGCCATACGGAGAGAGTGAAACCGCAAGAACTAAATCAACAAGTCAGCCCGTATCCAAAGGCGTGAGGATTCAAGTAATCACTCAGTGGAAGACTGACACAGGGTTAAAAATTGTGTCACGACACGCAATCGAGATTGCAGCGCACAGGCATCACCTGCAGGCACTGAACAGTGTGAAACCAGACATGCACGAATTAAGGCAGCATAGGCGCAACGGCGTCAGCCGTTACGCACCTTGCCGCTCTCCGGCGAGAGCTCACACGCGGGGCTTGCTACTTGGGGATGCGCCGGCCTCGCAAGGCTGAGTCTCAGCAAGGAGAGCCAAGAGATCGAGCGGGGCTCGATACTACAAGGCTCCACAGTTGCTGTCACCACTCCAGTAATGCGTGACCCGAGGATAGCGCAGTGTACGCAACACTGCACACACCTCCTTACCTCATGGCAAGAGGCCAGAAAAGGGAAGATCCGGGTCTGCAATGTAGTAGGGAGCGCACCTAGGCACTTCCAGCTTGGCCATCTCGGCCGCACATCAAGGAGGAAGAAGAGCACACCACAAGCGAAGGAGCAGAAAAGACTGAGCAGTGCCCAGCGCTACAAAGCTCAAAGGGGCGCATACTGCGATGTGGAATCGTCAGCAGGAGTATGCAGGCAAGCAAAGTGAAGACCTCTCCACGCGCGTGGGAATGGATGAGGCTTCACTTATTTATCGTGCTGACACGAGTAGTAATTGTAGGGAGATTGCCTATGCCGTTCCTGCTTGGCCCACTCGGCCGCACATAGAAGAGGTAGAAGACCGTTGCGCTTGGCGCAGTGCAGCGAGAACCAAGAGATCAAGCGGGGCTCGATACTGCAAGGCTCAACGCTCACAGACCGAGGGGTGACAATTCAACACCCCCTAACGGTGCAACACCAGCGCAGAGTCAAAAATTACCAGACTAAATCAACATACTAGGAGCACACGGCTTAGCGCCCCCACTTGGCAGCCTAAGCATTGGAGTTGCCATGACCACTCGGTACAGCGGGGCTGGCACTGGGGTCGCGTCACGAGGGCAGGCTTCGGGAATAGGTTGAGCGCACCACCAACGAAGAACCGGGAAGACCGAGCAGTGCCCAGCGCTAGCTCAAAGGGATGCACGCTGCAATTGGAGTCTTCAGCAGAAAATGCAGGCAAGCAAAGTGAAGACATCTCTTTGCACGTGATGAACGATACAGCACTTACATTATCATGCTGACATGAGTAGTACTAGTGGGGAGGTGCCCGTTTGGCCCTCTTGGCCGAACACAGAAAAGATGCAAGACAGTGGTTGGTGCCGTGTATCGAGAACAAGAGATCAAGCGGGGCTCGATAGACAAGGCTCAGCGATCACAGACCCAAAGTTGACAAGTCGACAACCGATGGTGGTAGCAACTCAACGCAAAGTGAGCGCTGCCCATGAGATTGGCGGGGCCGATACTACATGGGCACAGCTCACAACGCACAGGTCTGGGTGCCCGACCGCAGGATTCGGAGACAGGAGGGAACGCACACATTGGTGACGGCATTGAAGGTTGGGAGCGCACGCACAAGAGCCGCTGTTGGAGCGCCCGTCGCACTGCGCCGAACGAGCTCCTGCAACGGGTACCAGCAGGCGCTACATGGAAACTGTCAACAGATGGCAATATGCGCTGCCCTTCGGCGGAAGGGAAAGCCAAAGGTTGGTGCGTACAGAACCAGAACCAGCCGCCATGGCCCGATCAGGCCAGTACTCCTGGACATCATGTGTCAGACCTTGCTGATTTTGGAGCCTCTGGAGAAGTTGGAGTCGAAACGGTTCAACCTCCGTGAAGCAGGGAGGTTCATACGGAGACCGAAGGCCACCTGCGTTGACAAATTGCATCCCACGCACAGTTTGCACCGTACCTTTGAGCGAGACCTTGCCGCCCTGCGCAGAGGGCGGCGCATTTGCGCAAAGGTAGGCCATGGCAGCAACCGGGATGTGCACCTTGAGGCGGTGCAAGGGCCAGTCACCAGGACCGGCCTGCCGTACCATTGAATGACCTGCTCACCAGTGGCTAGGGATTCAGCGCCAGCCTCAAGCTCAACCGTATTTGCCGTAGGCGCAGAAGCTGGGCATGCTCCGCGTGGCGATGGTGAGCGCGGCCACCCAGAATTGCGGCTGAGCCAAGCGGTCCAGCATCAGCTGCGCAAACGAGGCGGAGCGTCTCCACTGGCCAGAGGTCCAGAACTTGCTGCTGCGATTCGAATGGATCCAAGGGCGAATTTCCAGATGCTAGGTGCTGATAGCCATTAGTGTGCTGCAGGTGCATGCAATACTTTAATGAGCTACCATCCATTTTGCATCCAGTACCGCAGCACGCGCAACTAGCCGATTTGCGGGAACACTGATCGATGGGTCTATGGTTGAAAAGAGCAGAGCAGCATTTTCTTCAGCGCGCACATGCAGTGTGTGTGTGTGTGGTGTCTGGAAGCGCTGTGTCTTGCAGCTTTGCGTTTGCGGACACTGGAAGTCCTGCGCTCGCCCGAGCTTAAGTCCTTTGCATCCAGTCCATGGACATGCTCTTAGAAGTGCTAGTCAGGTCAACTCAAGTCCTTGTTGAAGCTCCACAAGTGACAGCATCACATGTGATATGTGCATGTGATGTGTGTTGCACATTTATGCGGATGCGGTTGGGCCAAGCTGGGTGGCAAGAAGTTCTTGCGGAAGGCTGTTCCAGGCGTGCTTCATTAACTGCTTTGCCATTAACCCTTCTGTTCGTGCGCGTTGTTGGTCCGATTCAGAACCCAGACAGTGCGGAAACCCAGCCATTCACCATAGCAGCGCCAATACCATCAGCACCTGCGCCAGCCAGCTTGCCAGCCGAAATTGCAAAGCTGGAGCTAAGCCCACCAATGCCATTTGATCACACAGCCCAGTACCGGAAACAGCTCAACTCTCTCTTTAGAGGGGGTTTCCCAAATGGATTCTATTCTACCTGAGAGGCTCCTGGCACTCGTCCGTCCAGCATTTGACCTCGTCCTGCGAAGGATTCGAAGTCTAAAACGCTGCGCGCAGGCGTGTGGCTGCAAAATAATGACCCCTAGATAGCTTGCAAAATGCCCAGCAGCTGCGTTTCTGCAAGGCGAGCGAAAAAAAACAGGGAAAAAAAAGAAAGCCAAGCCAAACCAGCCAGAAAGCCAGCCAGGAGCCAAACCAAACCAGCCAGAGAGCCAGCCAGGAGCCAAACCAACCAGCCAGAAGCCAAGCCAAACCAGCTAGAAAGCCAGCCAGAAGCCAAGCCAAGAAACCAGAAGCCAAGCCAAACCAGCCAGAAAGCCAGCCAGAAAGCCAGCCAGAAGCCAAGCCAAGCCAGCCAGAAGCCAACCAAAAAAGCCAGCCAGGGTTTCCTTTGAGGGCGCTCGCCTTGCAGAAACAAAGGCAGCTGCTGGGCATTTTGCCAAACCGCATATCTAGGGGTCATTATTTTGCAGCCACACGCCTGCACGCAGCGTTTTAGACTTCGAATCCTTTCGCAGGACGAGGTCAAATGCTGGACGGACGAGTGCCAGGAGCCTCTCAGGTAGAATAGAATCCATTTGGGAAACCCCCTCTAAAGAGAGAGGTGCTATGTTCTGTGTTCGCGCTTTCGCGCGGCGCAGTCTGCAGCTGTCGCTGCAGTTCGCGCAGTTCGCTGCTCCGGGCTGCGCATTATTGATCCAATGTTGCGCCATTGTTGCTTCAAGACAATTCAACGTTGCCTCAAGAATGGCATCATAGCCACCCTGCCGCGCCACCTGCCTGGCATAGAAGCCTCCCGGCCGCGCCACCTGCCCGGCATCGGAGCCACACGCCAGCCCGCCGAGTCATACGGATCATACGGATCATACGGTCATACGGTCATACGGCGGCTTGGCACTGCGCCACCCTGCCGCGCCTGCCTGGCATCGAAGCCTCCCGGCCGCGCCACCTGCCCGGCATAGAAGCCTCCAGCCTGCCGAGCCTGTACCACACCGAGGTCGGAATTCCGACTTCGCTCTACACCGAGGTCGGAATTCCGACTTCGCTTCTTTGCCCGAAAAACCCATCACCGGGCCAGCGCCGAAGGTGTGTCAGCGATGCCGTCCTCGCGGGTGCCACTGACATAGTGTTTTTTCACCATTCACACGCCCAGCCGTCAATCCTGGCGTGGGCACAGGATTGCTCCTCAATCCTGGCGTGGGCACAGGATTGCTCCACTCAATCCTGGCGTGGGCACAGGATTGCCCCGGTGTCTCCCAGAAAACGCTGGAAGCGCGTCTCTACACAGAGACGCGCTCCCGGACTCGCCGCCCGGATTGCCCTGAAAACTCTGGAAGCGCACTGCTGTATAGCAGGGCACTCACGGAAAACTCCGGCTGCGATGCCGTAAATATGGCATTTCTCCCGGAGTCGCCGCCCGGCAAATTTGGGAAGTAACGCAAAGGAAATGGGGAAGATCAAGCTGTTTCCTACAAC